GACACTGAGATGAGTAGTTGAGAAATTGTGTTGAGGACACAAAAGTCTGTAGAAGGGTCTTGATAGGTTAAGTGAGTGTGCAAGAGTCTGGCAGATGGAGTACAATGTTAGTAAATGTGAGGTCATCCATTTTGGTAGAAATAAGAGCAAACTGGACTATTATGTAAATGGTGGAAAAATTGCAGCATGCTGCTGTGCAGAGGGCCTGGTTGTCCTTGTGCATGAATCACAAAAAGTTGGTTTGCAGGTGCAGCAGGCAATTAAAGCAAATGGAATATTGCCTTTCATTGCTCGAGGGATGGAGTTTGAAAATAGGGAGGTTATGCTGCAGCTGTATGGGTTGCTGGTGAGGGCACACCTGGAACACTGTATGCGGTCTGGACTCCTAACTTGAGAAGGGATGCACTGGCACTGGAGGAGATTCAAGAGGTTGATTCTGGAGTTGAGAGGGTTGCCTTTTTTTGTTTATTCATTCATTCACGAGATGTGGGCATCAGTGGCCAGGCAGCATTTATTGCCCATCTCTAATTTCCCAGGGGCTGTTAAGAGTCAACCACATTGTTGTGGGTCTGGAGTCACATGTCGGCCAGACCAGGTAAGGATGGCAGTTTCCTTCCCTAAAGGACAATAGTGAACAGGTGGGTTTTTCCAACAATCAACAATGGATTCACAGTTATCAGTAGATTCTTAAACTCAGATATTTATGGAATTCAGATTCCACCATAGCGGGATTTGAACCCAGGTCCCCAGAATGTTATCTGGGTCTCTGGATTAACTGTCCGGTGATAATACCACTAGGCCATTTGAGTAGAGTGGGACTGTAAGGAATGGGACTATGACTGAGAAGAATGAGGAGGGAATCTTGTAGAAACATATAAAATTACATTTGAGAATAGATAGGATAGAAGCTGGGAGGTTGTTTCCACTGGCTGTGAAACTAGAACTAGGAGGCATAGCCTCAAAATAAGGGGGAGCAGACTTAGGACTAAGTTGAGGAGGAACTTCTTCATCCAAAGGGTTGTGAATCTGTGGAATTCCGTGCCTAGTCAAGCTGTTGAGACTACCTTGTTAAATGTTATTAAGGCAAAGAGATTTTAGAACAGTAGAGAAATTAGGGCTTATGGTCAGCGGGTAGGTAAGTGGAGCTGAGTCCATGAAAAGATCTGCCATGATCTTATTGAATAGCGGAGCAGGTTTGAGGGGCCAGGTAGCCTGCTCCTATTTCTTATGTTCTGTATATGCTTAACGTGACTGACTGTCAGAATTTGATAAGTGAATCCTACACTAGTTTGTGCTGGGACTCAACTTTATCCCAATTTATGTTAAGAACTTAGATAGGGATGATTGAAGGCATTGTAGCTAAATTCACAGAAGGATATAGATGAGTTGAGTGAGTAGGTAATAATCTGGTGGATTGATATAATACTGGAAAATATAAAGTTACTTGGTTTGACAGGGCAAATGAAAAAGCAGCGTACTACCTAAATGGAGAATGATTGATTGTAAACTTAATAGCTGCAGAGAGATTTAGATATTTTGATGCATGAGTCACAAAAAGTTAGTTTGCGGTTATGGGAAGTAATCAAGAAGGCTAATGGTTTGAGAAGCTGGCCTTGTTTCTGTTGTGGTTGAGAAGAGTGAGGGGTGACTTGATTAATGAATGGAAACTTCCGAAACGTCATGGCAATGGTGAGTCTAGAACTGGAGACCACTGTTTAAAAATTAGTGGTTCTTTTAAGCCAGAGATGAGGAGAGTCTTTGAGGTTTGAGAGATTTTGGAATTCTCGGCCTTAGAAAATGGTGAAAATAGTGTCTTTGAATATTGATAAGGCAGCAGTAAATAGTTTTTTGTTAAGCAGGGCCATCAAAGAGTATCATGGATAGGTGGGAATATGGCATTTGAATCACAAACAGCTGAGACGTGATCTATTGAATAGGGAAGCAGGCTTGAGGGCTGAATAGCCTATATCTTTTCTATGACCTGTGCAAGTAAACTTAGTTTGTATGCTTACCCAGAGTTGGTACATTGGTTTCAAAAATGAGGGAATGTAAAGGGTGAACCCCTTGAGCAATTGGGACAAAATTTTGAGTTCACTGAATGGTACGTGTAACTTGAAGCTAAATGCTATTTCCATAGTTGCTCTATATCTGATTTACACACTGAAATGTCCAAATTTTGATGTCACCTTTCCTAGAGCTCCTTCCTTTGGATGTAATACATCATTTTTGAGCTTATTGCATTATGCAACATGATTTTTTTAAAATTTGCTCTGTTTACATCTCAATAGTGCATGTCAATAAGTAACAGCAAGTGACCATGACTAACTATGGATTATTCATTTTTAATTCAGACCATTGGTGTCATGACCACCAGATCTGTCCGTGAACTGGAGCTGAAGTGCTCGTGTAGACCCCTTTTAATTTGTAATGATTTGAGGTAAAGCAGATGAGCAGTCAAGTTTTTGTTTAAACAGGGTAAATGGCTAGTATATTCCAAGTTATTACCGAAGGTTGTTTTGGGTTGAAGAGATAAAGTTACAGATACCAAGAGTAAAATGCCAAAGAGTGCTTGTGAGAAAAATGTCCGAACATCTCAATGATATACAACTGAGGCCTTGCTTGAGTTCCTTGTTGCTGAATCAGAGATTAATACTTGAAGACAGACCCAGCAACTGCGATGGCTTCTGTAGTTGGATGGTTTACTGCATTCTTAACGGTGAACCACAGGACAGCAGATTTTATAATGGAGCAGGTTCTTTTTTCTTCACTTGTTCTGTGATTTTGGCATACCTACACTCCCTGACTTTGCTTCAGCAGAACCGTGTTTGATTTCCTTCTACCTTTTCTCTTTGTTCTCCCTAAGTTGAAACATTCTGCTCTATGGCTGGTTCTCAAACCCACCTTCTTAGAGTTCTACATACTGGCTCTTATTAGCCAGTTGTTTTTATATAACTCAGAGTTCAAAATTGTGTTTATTACTCAGGAGGAACCAAAAGTTCCACAAAATAAATAAGTCCATTATCCCGGGTCTCAAGTTTTTTTTCCTCTCTGCTGTTTCTCTCTGCAGCTTGAATTTGCACACCTCCATAGTCTGTTTACAAGCTGATATTTCAACAGTCATTACAAGTCTGGGCAAATCACTGTAATCATTTAAAACTTGCAGCTGTATACTCCTGTAATTGACAGTAGCTATGTATTTGTTTTCGATGCTTGTGGATGGTTTGAATCAGATTAGTTTATATTAGCAAAAATTTATAATGTGAAAGCTCTGTTGCTCATGATGAGGAGAGATCAGGTTTCTTATTTATGCGAAATGAAGCCGTGGAATTTAGTTTACCTCTGAAGTGCCTTTCAGATATAAACTAAGGCCCAGATTTTGCAACATACAAATATCACAGTCATTCAGTATAATTTCTACTTATTGATTCATTTATTGATAGAGGTTCAATATTCCCTGTAGAAAGCTTCTGGACTTTGAAATAAGGACTTAAGAACGTAAGAACTAGGAGCAGGAGTAGGCCATCTGGCCCCTCGAGCCTGCGCCGCCATTTAATAAGATCATGGCTGATCTTTTTGAGACTCAGCTCCACTTACCCGCCCACTCACCATAACCCTTAATTCCTTTACTGTTCAAAAGTTTATCTAGCCTTGCCTTAAAAACATTCAGCAAGGTAGCTTCAACCACTTCACTGGGCAGGGAATTCCACAGATTCACAACCCTTTGGGTGAAGAAGTTCCTCCTGACCTCAGTCCTACATCTGCTTCCCTTTATTTTGAGGCGATGCCCTCTAGTCCTAGTTTCACCTGCTAGCGGAAACAACCTCCCTGCCTCTACCTTATCTATTCCCTTCATAATCTTATATGTTTCTATAAGATCTCCCCTCATTCTTCTGAATTCCAGTGAGTATAATCCCAGTCTACTCCGTCTGTCCTCATAATCCAACCCTCTCAACTCTGGAATCAACCGAGTGAATCTCCTCTGCACCCCCTCCAGTGCTAGTATATCTCTTCTCAAGTAAGGAGACCAAAACTGCACACAGTACTCCAGGTGTGGCCTCACCAGGAGCCTATACAGCTGCAGCATAGCCTCCCTGTTTTTAAACTCCATCCCTCCAGCAATGGCAGACAAAATTCCATTTTCCTTTTTAATCACCTGCTGCACCTGCAATCCCACCTTCAGCAATTCATGCACAAGGACATCCAAGTCCTTTTGCACAGCAGCATGCTGCAATTTTTTACCATTTAAAACATAGCCCATTTTGCTGTTATTCCTATCAAAATGGATGACCTCACAGTTATCAACATTGTACTCCATCTGCCAGACCTTTGCCCACTCACTTAGACTATCAAAGAGTTTGCTCTGATGGGAAACTCTTTTTAGCAATTTTTTCTGAAGAAGGGTCTCGACCCAAAACATCAGCTTTCCTGTTCCTCTGATGCTGCCTGGCCTGCTGTGTTCCTCCAGCTCCACACTTGGTTATCTTTTTAGAAATGCGTCTTCTCTTGGGAATATTGAACCTTTATCAATAAAGCAAGCTGTGGTATGCCTCCTTCAACAATCAGATTGGAACCATGTGGAATCTGAACCCAGTGTCAGTTAAGGATATTTAATTCTATGTCAATTCATGTGCAGAAAGCCAAATAGAGAAGGAAAAATCTTTCCAAGAAGGGGGGGAAGAAAGGACAAACGACAAAGTAAAAAGTTTGTTAATTAAAAATATCTAACAATAATTAAAAGCTAAGAGAATGCCACTTCCTGTTTGCACAATTAATTTATACTGCCTGAGAGGTTTCATAGTGATTGAAAATTTGATGCTGCTACCTACACCGGAAGTTTCTAGTGAGTTCAGTGAGTATCTATTGCAGAAATACTGCAGACTTGCACTGTTCCATTTATTTTGATGCCAAGAAGCTAGAGAGATACCAAATTCGTTTTTATTTTCATTTCATTAACTTGTTAGTGGATTAATTGATCTACTGCAATTTTCTGTTTTCTTCAGGACAGTTGCCATTTTGGGTGCTGGTCTAATGGGTGCTGGTATAGCACAGGTCACAATAGACAAAGGTATTTTAACTGTCTTAAAAGATACCACAATGGAAGGCCTTGATCGAGGTCAACAACAAATCTATAAAGGGTATGTAAACTGATTAGTGCTTTTGGTAATACCTTTGAATTCAGATAATGTAAATCTTGATATCATGTGTACTAATGGCTTTATTTGTGTCATGCCCATTTAAATTACCAGTTTAATAAATAGGAATGTTATATTCTTAGATCTGTCACCTGCAATCTTCATGTAATTTGCCGAACACTTGCTTGTTTTTCTATAATGCTGTCATACTGATTCGTTAAATTTGTAGAATCATAGCATATTTTTAGCTTTTTTGATGCAGTAATGCAGCAGTTCTCCAGTGCTTAATGTAGCATGATTTATATCATTATTTACATTGATGGATTATAGTTTTAACCTAATGATATCCTTTTTGAATCATAACAGATTGAATGATAAAGTAAAGAGAAAGAATTTAACATCATTTCAGCGGGATAGACTGTTGTCAAATTTGATTGGTCAGTTAGACTACAAAGGATTTGAGAAAGCCGACATAGTCATTGAAGCAGTTTTTGAAGATATGAAAATCAAGCATACTGTACTGAAGGAAGTTGAAGCTGTAAGTAGTTTAAAAAAACAATCAAAGTATGTTAAGTCTTGTGAATTGTAATTGAACAAGACTTTTCTCGATTTGGATTCTATCATTTGAACTTTGACCGATTCGGCTGATGTTTAAATCTCACTTGTGACAATACAATGGCTTTAAGAGGTGTATTTTATCTTTATTTTTGAAGAGAGATTTTGAGAAAAAGGTGACAACAAAGTAAAGAGCTTGTGAGGCTCTGTTGTAACAATAGAAGCAGTGTGAGTGGGTAGAGTCAGGCTTCCACAGAACCAGGGTTTTAGATGTTGGGGTTTTGAAATTTGTTGTGGAAGCTGCTATACATTCTCTCTGCCATAGCAAAAAGCTTGAATTCTTTCTCACTGCCAGAATTTTCTCTCGGTGTTCTTTTGTCCTGGACTGGAGAAACATTGCATGTAAGAAAATTTATTTTACTGAATTAGCCTTTGACAAGGGTGTGTTTATTGAATGTTCCCATATTGGAACAGTGCTGCTTAGTTGTTAAATAACCTGTTATTGTGTTAAGTTTTCCAATAGAGTTAAAGTTATACCAATTCTTCTTTCTTTTGTTTGTATTTTACTGGCTGTAAGAATAAAATGTATTTCATTTAAAGCCAGGTAGCATGACCAATCGAATTACATCTGGAACACAGCACCTTACATTTGCCTTTAAATAAGATAAAAGGTGGGTCTAGGCTATCTTCTTGATATATTTGAAGGGGGTTTCATCTAGTCTATAACAAATTGAAGGCTGTTGAAAGGATCAAAATCTCTAATTTCAGTTTGAGTTGAGGATTATTGGATTCAAAAAGGGAGAGTGGTGAGTGTCGGTGTTTTTTTGGGTGTTGTGTTCGATTGGTTTATGAAAGGAAAATGGCCCAGTGATGATATTGCTGGGCTGTTAATCTAGAGAGCCAGGTAATGTTCTGGGGACCTGGGTTCGAACCCCACCGTGACAGATGGTGGAATTTGAGTTCAAGTAAAAACATAAATCTGGAATTAAGAATCAAATGATGACCATGAATCCATTGTCAATTATTGGCAAAACCCATCTGGTTCACAGATGTCCTTTAGGAAAGGAAATTAGCCATCCTTACCTGGGCTGGTCTACATGTGACTCCAGACTCTCAGCAATGTGGTTGACTCTTAACTGTCCTCTGAGCAATTAGGGATGGGCAATATGTGCCGGCCTCGCCAGTGATGCCCTCATCCCACAAATGAATTTAAGAAAAAAATAGGATGTGCCCTGTATATTAATGGCTCTTTCAGTCACTAAGAGTTTCCCGGGGGTGGAAGAAGTCATTTCGGGTTGCTCACAGAAAGTGAGCAGGGCAGAGCTTTTGGAATTGGTGTGCATGTTCAAGTTGGAGTTGCCTGTGCCTTTGAGGAAAGGGGAGATACTTGCAGCAATATCTCAGCATTTACCTTTACCAGGAATACAATCAAGAGCATTGGAAATTGCTTAAATTCAATTGAAAATGAAGCAGCTTGAATGAGAGGTGATGGCAAGAGAAAAAGTAAAGAATACACCTAGCAGAACAAAAAGAAAAGGAAAGAATAGCCCTGGCAGGAAAAAAAAGAAAAGGAAACAAAATGGTTTGAACTGCGATTAAAAGCAAAAGAAAAGGAAAGGATGGCCCTGGCAGAAGAAAGGGAGAGAGAAGAGAGGGACAGAGTGAGAGCTTTTGAACTTCAGAAGTTGGCAATGAAAGAGGAAAGTCGACTTGAAATGTGAAGATGGAAGAAAGGAATAGTGATGAGGTCAGTTAGGAGCAAATACATCGTAACCAAAAGCTTGGTGGGGATCTGTTTAAATGTGTCTAAGCGTTACCAAAATTTGGTGAGAAAGACGTAGAAGCCTTTTCATTTGTTTACCCACGTTCTTAAATTAAATAAAATGGCCGATGACTATGTGGGTATTGTTGATTCAAACAAAATTGGTAGGTAGAGCTCGTGAGGAATTTGCATCACTGTCAGAGGAGGTATCTGGGGACGATGATGCGGTGAGGAAAAAGCATCTTAAATATATATGAACTAGTACAGAAACCTACAGACATTTTAGGAATTTAAGGAGGGAACCTGGTCAAGTGTACTTGGAGTTTGAAAGGATCAAAAAAAGGAGCTTTGGTAAGTGGATAAGGGCACTGAAAATAGATCAGACATATGATGCTGTTAGAGACACCATTATTTTTGGAGGAATTCAAAAATTCACCCCTGAAGTAGTCAGAATTCGTGTGGAACAGCAGAGAGTTCAAACTGCAATATTAGTAGCAGAAATGTCAGTTTATACGTCAGTGTTTGGCTTCAGACATCTCTCGACAGAAATTGAGGAAAAGAGAAATCCTCGGGTAGTAAAGGAAAAGGACATGTCATTGAAGGTTGTAAACAGTTTACCACAGGTCAAAAAGGAAACCCATGAAGGGGGAACAGAAGTAAAAAAGATTAGGTGTCTCCACTGCAATAAAGTAGGACACGTGAAGTCATAGAGTTGATGGTTTAAGAAAGGCACTGGGAAGACAGATGTGGTAAAACAGAATAAGCCAGTGGGGTTTTTTAAAATGGTAAAGGAGATCCCAGTAGAAGCTGAAGATCTACAAAAGAATGTGCAGCCTGATCAGGCTTTGGATAATAAGAAAGTACCAGATCTCTTTAAAGAATTTGCCTGTATGAGTAAGATTAATTCATGTGCACCAAGAGGCGTAGGTAAAGAAATAAACATTTTAAGAGATATAGGAGCACGTCAGTCTTTGATGGTGAGAGACGAAGAGGGTATGTACTTTGGAAGAAGGAATGCCAGAAAGGATGGTAGTATATAGCATTCATGATGAGAAGATTAGATTTCCAGTATATAAGGCAAGGTTAGAGAGTCCGGTGAATGGTGGTAGGAGTAATAGAGAAATTCTCTGTTCCAGAGATGCAGTTTATCCACAGGAATGGTATAGCTGGATCACTGGTGGGTGTGAGGTCTGCTGTGGTTGAAAAGCCAGTGGAAAATCAGGCAATTAAGATGTTGCAGTAAGTATAACCTGAGATTTTTCCTGAATCTGGTAACAAGGTCACAAAGTCATAGGCTGAAACAGGAGAAGAAATCAAGAATAAAGATAAGGAAGTTGAAGTTCAATTATTAAAAACTGTTTGATCAGATGGTTGAGGAAATAAACGAGAACAGATGGAGGACAAAGTGGATATTTTTAGTTTAATGAGGGTAGTTGAATTACAACAAAAAGGTGAAAAAATAAAGTAGTTGTATCGAAAAGTATACACAGAAGAAGAATCTTAATGTATCCCACTATCTTTAAAAGAAAAGAAGCCTTGATGAGGAAATGGAAACCATTACATATTCAGACAAATGAAAAATGGGAAGAAGCTTGTTAAGTTGTATTACTGGTGGGTTATGGAAAGGAGGTGTTGTGGGTAGCACATGAGGTACCAGTAGGAAGTCATTTGGGAGTAAGGAAAAGTGAAAATAGAGAAGTCATTTTTATTGGCCAGGACAGCATGGAGATGTGGCTGAATTTAGCCGAACATGCATGTTACACATATCGGGTCATTGAACAACCTGAGGCTGTGATAAAACCAGCACTGTTAATACCTATTCCAACCTTTGAGGAACCTTTTACAAGAGTCTTAATTGATTGTGTAAGACCCCTCCCTAAAACAAAGTGGGAATCTATACTTGTTGACTGTAATTAATATATCTACTGGACTTCCAGAGGTCATTCCATTCTGCAGTATGACGGCTTGAAAGATTATAGAAGAGTTGCTCAATTGTTTTAAACCAGATATGGACTGATGAAATTTTACATGAAAATTTTTAAACAAGTTACGGATAGCTATCGATTATAAAGCGGGGAGTTGACCCCCCTCTGAGAACTAATACCAAAACGTCCAAAGAGGAGCGCCTCATCCTATAATCTGTTAAGTGGTGTAACCTGCCTTTCTGCAAGTACTATTGGTTAAATAAAATAAACCCCTGACACTCACTCTATGATCAACATGTAACAATCTATTTATCTAACTCTAACAGTGAACAATTCAACTAAATAATTAACATTGAAAAAACCCCTTGTAGCAATAACTATCCCCAAATAAAACAAGATTCTAATGGTATGCTATTCCAATAAATACAGGTCCCACTTGTATAAGACAAAATAAAAAAGAATTTAGTCTGTCAAAATTACAGCCAGGTTGTGTGTCTTCCAGTACGTTCTGTGCCTTCCTCATCGAATGTTCTGTAAGGAACACCTTCTCTGTCGATTCTTCTGTCAGGAATATTAACTAGTTGCGCCATTGTTACCTTTGATTTAGATGATACTTTCTCAAAGATTTGGAGAAGACTGTAAAAGCCAGCGATTCTCTCTGGAAGATGGTAGTTAGGTCTCCTGTCTTTGTCCAACTGTCCTCTTCTTTTATACCCTTGATGACATAACAATTTCTTAGATTAGGATTAGTCCTATGTTATTAAAACTATCAGATTTAAATTTAATTGGCTTTTGGTATCCAAGTGCCTGATTCAAATTGATTGGCAACATTCAAAACATGTCTTGGTCACAAAACAAAACTGCTGATTGGCCTGCTAACTGTACAGCCTTTCAATACAAATGTTTCAATTCGAGTGTTCTCTGTGCACCTGCAAACCCACAAGCTGCTGTGCATAGACATCCTTTTTGAACCTCTAAACATAGAAAAAGTTCATCTTTTTTAAAGGGGTCACGCACTGCTTTCCCCCTTAACGTGTTATAAACACCAAATTCTAACTTCCTGCCTTCCAGTCCACAAGTACTCTACCCAACTTGGCAACACTTATGAATAGACCAATTTAAATCAACTGCATACTATCCAGAATTGCAAGGAGCATTAGAATGATGGCATCAAACTTCACAGACCAGGTTGATGGCTTATAGTCAAGACTATCCAGATGATTGGGATAAAAGAATTCCATTTGTTGTTGTTGCAATTACGGATGTACCTAAATTCAGTCCATCTGAATTAGTTTTCGGACATGACGTGCGAGTACCACTGAAATTAAGGAAAAATTGGTAAGTCAGGTTTCAGAGACCACATATTTGGACTACGTTTCAGATTTTAGGGAAAGATTAAGTAGAGTAGGTGAGTTGACTAGACAGCATTTGAAAGTAGCACAGCATATGGTGAAACAGGAAGCAGACAAGAAATCAAAAATTTGTATTTTTGCTGGAGGAGATGAAATGTTAGAAAGTCGGAGAGAAGGAAAACTTGGAGTGTGTCTTGTGAATATGCTCAAATGGTATTTTAGTGAGGAAGAAAAGCAAAAGGAGAATGTGGTACCAGTTACAACCCAGAGTGAAGAACGAATTCCAGATAAATTTGTCTTTGTCTGAATCAATTTGATAAAATAACAATGAGGAAGTTCTCAAAAATTAGGATGGATTTATGAGTTACCTTCCAGAGGAAAATGGAAGTGACCTGACACGGTTACTACAGTCACATGGAGAGATATGTAGGAATAAGCTGGGAAATACTAACGTGATTACATATGATGTAAATATAGGAAATGCAGTTTCAATTAAGCAGTTCCAATTAAGCAGCCCCCTTCTAAACTTGACCCTGTAAAATGGGCAAAGATTCAAAAAGAAATGGAGACCATGCTCAAAAACGATACAGTCGAAGTGAGTTACAGCAAATGGAACTCGCCCATTGTAATGGTGCCAAATCAAGATGGCACCCAATGTTTGTATTGCTTACCACAAAGTCAGTGCAGTTACAAAATCTGATTTGGATCCTATTCCATGGCTGGAAATCTGTTTTAAGAAGGTGGGACAAGCAACTTACATTTCACATCTGGACTTAGTCAAAGGATACTGTCAGGTACCTTCTTCCGAGAGAGCATAGGAATTCTTGGCTTTTGTGACACCAAATGGATTGCACAAGTTTAACGTTATGCCATTTGATGTGAAAAATGCACCAGCTATGTTTCAAAGACTAACCAATGAAGTCATTTCAGGATTACCCAATTGTGTGGCTTACATAGATGATTTGGTGATTTTTAGTCACACATGAAAGGAACATTTGGCACATCTATTGGAATTGTTCACTTGACATCAGAAGACTGGCTTGTGATAAACCTGGCTACAAGTGAGTTTGTAAAAGCCCAAGTCACGTTCCCAGGCCATATCATTGGACACGGATAGATGGCCCCATGGGATGTCTAAACCAAGGTTATTGGGTAGTTGCCCATACCATTGACGAAGAGGGAAGTACTATGGTTCGTGGGAGTAAATGGGTTTTATCAAAAATTCATACCAAATTTTAGCAGCGTGGTTGCTCCACTGACTGACTTGTTGAAGAAGTGTGGAAAATTTTAGTGGACAGACAAATATCAGAAGGCATTTGACAGCCTGAAAGCTGTGTTAACCAACACCCAGTGTTAGCCGCATCTAATTACGCAAAGCCAATCAAGGTGATATGGGTGTTAGTGCTGTACTCTTACAAGAAGACGATGAGAAGATGGCAAGACCTATTGGGTATTTTTGCAGATAATTGAATATTCATCAACAGAATACTCCACAATTGAAAAGGAGACCTTGAATTTGTTCGTTGGCGTTGCAATGTTTCAACATTTATGTTGCTAGTAATGTGTCTGAGACGGTTGTATATCCTGATCATAACCCATTAATGTTTCTGGAAAAAATTTAAAGATAAAAATACCAGACTGTTTTGATGGAATTTATTGTTATAGCCATTGAATTTGAAAATTATAAACGTGGCAGGATGAGTGAATGTAATTGCCGATGCCTTGTCGCGGGTTGACGTCTATATGGACTTTTGCAAAACCTTTGACAAGGATCTGCATGATAGACTATTTATCAAGGATAGACCATGTGGCATGCAGGGAGAGCTAGCCACTCGGATAAAAAATTGGCTCGAAGGTAGGAGATGGAGAGTGGTGGTGGAGGCCGTTCTGTGAACTGGAGACCTGTGACGAGTGGTGTGCCGCAAAGGTTGATGCTGGGGCCACTGCTTTTCATCATTTATATAAAAAATTTGGATGTGAATATAGGAAGCATGGTTAGTAAGTTTGCAGATGCCACCAAATTTCGTGGTATAATGGATAGCAAAGAAGGTTACTCAGAGTACAACGAGACCTTGATCAGATGGACCAATGTGCCAAGGAATGCCAGATGGAGTTTAATTGAGGTAAATGTGAGGTGCTCCATTTTGGTTTGGCAAATCAGAGCAGGACTTATGCACATAATGGTAACGTCTTGGGGGTGTTGCCGAACAAAGTAACCTTGGGGTTCAGTTTATAGTTCCTTGCAAATGGAGTTGCAAGTGGACGGGTTGGTGAAGAAGGCATTTGGTGCACTTGCCTTTATTGGTCAGTGCATTGAGTATATGAGTTGGGAGGTCATGTTGTGGCTCTACAGGACATTGGTTAGGCCACTTTTGGAAAACTGTGTGCAGTTCTGATCTCCCTGATATAAGAAAGATTTTGTTAAATTTGAAAGGGTTCAGAAAAGATTTACAAGGATATTGCCAGGGCTAGAGGGTTTAAGGTATTAGAAGAGGCTGAATAGGCTGGGGCTATTTTCCCTGGAGGATTTAGAGGGATATAGGCCAAATGCTGGCATATGGGACTAGATTAATTTAGGATATCGGGTCAGCTGGAATAAGTTGGACCAAAGGCTCTCTTTCGTACATCTCTGTGACTCCATGACTCTGACGAAAGAAGATCAAGTTGTTTGATGGTGGAAGAAACAGATTGAAGTGCACTGTAGTATTGAATGTTTGCATTCTTGGAGTCAATGTAGTGCATATGTATTGTAGTGTACTAATAAGACTGAAGGGTTTTAAAAATGAAGCTATCTTTGTTGGGTTTTTTTTAAAAACCTGAGGGAATGTGAGATATGATGATGCTACAGCTTTGAGCTGTATTTTGTCCTTTTTTATTTGAAGAGAGGTTTTAAGATAGAGGTGAATAGTTGTCTCTCCCCAGCCTACAAAGTAAACAGCTTGTGAGGCTCGTGTTTTTTTTAAAGTTAGAACTAGAAGCAGCATGAGTGAGTGGAGCCAGACTCCCATAAAACCAGGGATTTAGTTTAACTTCCAGTTGTTGAGATTATGAAGTTGTTTGGGGAAGCTGCTACACAACTCCCATGCCAGAGGAAAAAGCTTGAGTTCTCTCTCCCTGTCAGAATTTTCTCTTGGTGTTCTTTTCTCCTGGACTGTGAATCGCATGTGAAATAAGTTATTTTACTGAATTTGCATTGGCTACAGGTGTATTTATGGGATTTTGCTATATTAGATCAGTTGCTGTTGAGTAGATAAATAATCTATTATTCTGTTAAATGTTCCAATGGAGTTCAAGTTAGACCAATTCACTTTTCTTTTGTTAGTATTTTAACTGAGTGTAAGAATAAAGTGTGTTTTGCTTAAAGCTGAATAGCATGACCAATCGAATTACATCTGGAACACAGCACCTTACACTTGCCTGTAAATAAGATGAAAGTTAGGGTCTTGGGGACCGCTTTGCAGAACACCTACGCTTGGTTCGCACTAAACAACTGCACCTCCCAGTCGTGAACCATTTCAACTCCCCCTCCCATTCCTCAGGCGACATGTCCATCCTGGGCCTCCTGCAGTGCCACAACGATGCCATCCAAAGGTTGCAGGAACAACACCTCATATTCCACTTGGGAATCCTGCAGCCCAATGGTGTCAATGTGGACTTCACAAGCTCCAAAATCTCCCCTACCGCATCCCAAAACCAGCCCAGCTCGTACCCGCCTCCCTAACCTGTCCTTCCTCCCACCTCAAGCCCCACCCCCATCTCCTACCTACTAACCTCATCCCGACCCCTTGACCTGTCCGTCCTCCCTGGACTGACCTATCTCCTCCCTACCTCCCCACCTACACTCACCTTTACTGGCTCCATCCACGCCTCTTTGACCTGTCTGTCTCCTCTCCACCTATCTTCTCCTCTATCCATCTTCTATCGACCTCCCCCTCTCTACCTATTTATTTCAGAATCCCCTTCCCCTCCCCCATTTCTGAAGAAGGGTCTAGGCCCGAAACATCAGCCTTCCTGCTCCTCTGATGCTGCTTGGCCTGCTGTGTTCATCCAGCTCTACACCTTGTTATCTTAGGGTCTAGGCTATCTGCTTTGATATATTTGAAGAGAGTTTGGTCTGGCCCATAACACACCGTAGACAAAAACCTGGAATAAAATTGCACGACGTGTCTTGCTGTTGTGAAACCAGTTCCACAACTGTCTTCCTACTGGTTGGTCTGTCAAATGTGTCCAAATTAAGAATCTATTGTGTCGAAACCTTGCTGAGGCAATTTTGCCATCCATTTTGTCTGACTGGAATTCTCCAAACAATTAAACCTGCCAGCAGAAGTTGGGGCCCCTAAACAAAAAAGTAGAAAATTGAATTGCTGCTTTGTGGCAGTTTTCCACCTGGCAGATGAAGTTCTGTTATCTTTGTTACATGATAATCAGTTCTGAATAATTTAACTTAAGTGCACTTAATGTTGAAAAGTAGATTTTTACAAATAAAGTAGCCGAGTCTGTCTTATGTTGCCTTCTACGATGTTTCTTTCTCGTCTGTGAAATATCAACCTACTCTGTGAAATTGGCTAAGACTAAGACACGTTTGCCTATAAACACTTAAACATACTCAATGAACATGATTGCGGATCATACAGTAATTTTTTTTTGGATACAGGTTTTGTTGATGACTGATGCTTTTTTTAAAATTGAAGTCCTTTATTTTTTTCTCTGACAGGTTGTAGCTCCTCATTGTATATTTGCTAGTAACACATCAGCTCTTCCAATTTCTGAAATTGCTGCTGTCAGTAAGAGACCAGAGAAGGTATGTTGTGAATACTTGAATGATTGTTTATTCATTAACGTTTTATGAAAACTTAAACACTAAAAGGTCAAGAGAGCAAGAAAATGCAAAATATAAGCCAACATTTGGAAATTATGTTTCAGAGATAGTAGAAACTGCAGATGCTGGAGAATCTGAGACAGCAAGGTGCAGAGCTGGATGAACACAGCAGGCCCAGCAGCATCAGAGGAGCAGGAAGGCTGACGTTTCGGGCCGAGACCCTTCTTCAGAAAGGG